ACAAAATTAATGCGATAAATTGAGGCAATCAGATCTATTTATCGATACTAGATGAAATTTAAAGAAATTCAAACGTTTTAACATGTGAAAATGTAAAATTAAATTACTAAATGAAATTCCATTCGTCAAAGAAATACTTCAACAGAGACTGAAACAAAAAGTACGTAGAACAAAGCAATATGAAAAGCGTTGTACGTTCTATCGACAAAATAAGATATTTCAAAAGGACTTTAGGAAGTTTTACAGGGAAATTGGAAAAGTAATTATAGAAGTGAAAAGGCCGTCATCTAATGAAGAAATGCAAATATTTTGGGAGATGAGTTAGAGTAACAAAAAGGAATATAATCACAATACAAAAGAAATCAAACGAAAATGACTGAAGGATAAACCTGTACAGAAACATGAAAATATAACAAAGAATAATGTTAAGCAAGTTCTAACAAAATCCACAAAATGGAAATCCCCAAGAAATAACAAGATAGCCATCTTTTGGCACTATCATCTATCATCAATCCATAAAACTCTTGCGCAAACTTTACCAATGCTAATTAATAACCACAACGAAATTCCATAATGGATCAATGAATATATTACATATCTTCTACCAAATGGGTGAAACAGATGATCCCAAAAATTATAGGCCTATAAAATGTCTGTCCAGCACATAGAACTTGATCGTGTCTGTCCTAACGAACTTACTCTTTTCTGAATGAAAACTACATTCTTAACCTCGAACAGAAGGGGTGCTAAAGAGGTCGATGCAGTTTCAAATATCAAATATTTATAAATAAAATGATCCTGGAAAACTGCAGGATATAAAGTAGAAATTTCAGCAGAGTTTGGATAGATTACAATTGATGGTGTGCCACAGTTTTGGATCCTTAACCATTTGATCCCTGCCATCCTGTATAGTTTTTAACCTTCTGCTGATTTACCGAGTCAAAACTCGCAAAACATGGGCAGTAATATTTCACGGTAGACATAAAAAAAAATAGTTACAAGTGATTACCCACCTTTCAACAGGTAGCTGGGCATGGATTTCTTTTTCTATATCACTTTTCAACCGGTGGCTGCGCATTATGTCATTTTTCTCTACTACCTGTAAATCGGTGGTCAGGTCCGAAAATGTGTAAGGATTTAGAAATGTACAAAGTATACTTAGTGATACTAAATGGCGGTAAATATTTCATCGGATTGTGGAAAATCACATTATACCTAAACCCAAGTAAAGGCACTGTCATTTCTTATCCGACAAGGAAACTTTCAAAATGTCTCCACGTCACCCCTTCTGTATTGATTATCTTTAACACTCTTTACCCGTGAACTAAACAGTAATAACTATAGATACAAAGTAAACAGGAAAGTATTTGGTCAGCTATTCTATAAGGAGGATCTCAAGCTCTTTGGAAAAGACGACAATGAGTTGAAGTGTCTCATCAAGACGATAAAATATTTCAGTTATGACATCTGTATGAATTTCAGATTTGATAAATGCGAAAATGAAACATTCTAAAAAGAAAGAATTACTGAAAGACACTAAATAGATCTAGATTTTGACACAAATATTAGTGTACGAACTAAAGAAGCCTATAAATACTGAAGAGCCAGTGAAGGAGAAGGATTACAACCATAACCGAATGAAGGAGAAAGTTTACAACATACCCGAATGAAGGGGAAGGTATACAACATACCCGAATGAAGGGGAAGGTATACAACATACCTGAATGAAGGGGAAGGTATACAACATACCCGAATGAAGGGGAAGGTTTACAACATACCCGAATGAAGGGGAAGGTATACAACATACCCGAATGAAGGGGAAGGTTTACAACATACCTGAATGAAGGGAAGGTATACAACATACCTGAATGAAGGGAAGGTTACAACATACCCGAATGAAGGGAAGGTATACAACATACCCGAATGAAGGAGAAGGTTTACAACATACCTGAATGAAGGGGAAGGTTTACAACATACCCGAATGAAAGGGAAGGTATACAACATACCCGAATGAAGGGGAAGGTTTACAACATACCCGAATGAAGGGGAAGGTATACAACATACCCGAATGAAGGGGAAGGTTTACAACATACCTGAATGAAGGGAAAGGTTACAACATACCCGAATGAAAGGGAAGGTATACAACATACCTGAATGAAGGGGAAGGTTTACAACATACCCGAATAAAGGAGAAGGTTTACAACATACCTGAATGAAGGAGAAAGTTTACAACATACCCGAATGAAGGGGAAGGTATACAACATACCCGAATGAAGGAGAAGGTTTACAACATACCCGAATGAAAGGGAAGGTATACAACATACCTGAATGAAGGGGAAGGTTTACAACATACCCGAATAAAGGAGAAGGTTTACAACATACCTGAATGAAGGAGAAAGTTTACAACATACCCGAATGAAGGGGAAGGTATACAACATACCTGAATGAAGGGGAAGGTTTACAACATACCCGAATGAAGGAGAAGGTTTACAACATACCCGAATGAAGGGGAAGGTATACAACATACCTGAATGAAGGGGAAGGTTTACAACATACCCGAATGAAGGAGAAGGTTTACAACATACCCGAATGAAGGAGAAAGTTTACAACATACCCGAATGAAAGGGAAGGTATACAACATACCTGAATGAAGGGGAAGGTTTACAACATACCCGAATGAGGGGGAAGGTTTACAACATACCTGAATGAAGGGGAAGGTTTACAACATACCCGAATGAAAGGGAAGGTATACAACATACCTGAATGAAGGGGAAGGTTTACAACATACCCGAATGAAGGAGAAGGTTTACAACATACCCGAATGAAGGAGAAGGTTTACAACATACCCGAATGAAGGCGAAGGTATACAACATACCCGAATGAAGGAGAAGGTTTACAACATACCTGAATGAAGGGGAAGGTTTACAACATACTCGAATGAAGGAGAAAGTACGAAAAGAAGACGACATTCGTGTTTGTCTTGTGTTAAATACCGAGATTCATTTGCAAAACAGAATATCGGCAATAAACACACTGGCTGTCCCTTTGGGACAATACAATTTCTACACCTTTATCTAGACCATAGCTGATATTAAGGGGACTGATACCAAAACGATAAATCTTCTCACTTGCTGCCATAGGAATCATCCTAAGGCTGATGTTGATCGTCAGAAAGAGGCAGAAATTTAGTTCAAGTTGAGATGCCTTAAAAAACTTCACTAATCGATCTTCAAAGATATCTGGAAACTACAAAAGACTTGATGATGATCTTTGTTAAATAATATGAATGAAATGAAAAAAAATATACAAACGTTTATTTCAAGTGGGTGAAACAATACACCTACGGCAGCGGTGTCGAACGTAAAAAAGAAAGCAATTGCAATGACCCAAATGCAGAAACGATGGCAAGATAATCCTCTTCCTTGTCAATACTCTGCCCGTAAGAAACAAACTAATGTAGACAAACAGCGTACCGGTGGTTGCCTACTGCATGCGTAAAAGATGGTTTCATTTTGGCTGCACAACACCAATGCATATTTGCTAGAAATTGCCAAGCACTCATACTGGAAGCAATTTGTTAAACCAAAATTTATATTCTGTTATAAACATTTAGAAACAATTAACCATCTTGTATCAGATTACACGCTATTAGCACCTACTGAATATAAAACTTGGCACGACACAGTGGTCCAATAACTGCACTGGAAAATATGCAACGTTTACGGAGAAGAAACCGCAAGGTACTGGTATGAACACCACAGAGGCCAGGTTACAGAAATCGGATCTTTATCAATTTTAAGGGACTTCCGAATACACACAGATAAAACAATCAAAGATAATAGCCAAGGCACCGTGCTCAATACAGAATTGGCTTTGTTATCGACATTACAGTTACTGTAGACTGTAATGTATTTTGAGGATCTTAAAAAAATCAAAATACGAGGATCTTGAAGTATCAATCATAACACTGTAGCTGGAGACCTCGGTTTGAATGGAAAAGGTTTCGATAGACTCAAGAAGGGATTCCTGGCAGAGAACGTCTTAAAGTAATACAAAAGTTGTATTCACAAGAACAGTTCATACCTTATAAATGGAATTATCTTTGTACAAATGTGTGGTTGTAGGATTACATTTTTTTACCAAAATGTTCAGTGGAAAATGTCATAATGTCATATGTGACCTTAGGTCTCTGTGGTATATATATATATATATATATATATATATAAAAGTGAACATAGAAGTCAACACTTAGAGGCGACAGTCTGTTTCATGCTATATGCAATCGTCAGGCCTGATGTTCACTTTTATATATTTACACGCTCTATCTCTGATATTGAGTACTTTATTCCATAAATATAGCATACCTTAAGACTATATTTCTTTTATATATATATATATATATATATATATATTACACCAAAATAAATATATAACTATAATTTAAACACAAACCTAGATCTAATATGTAATTTCAAGTATAATACAAATGTACACAGAAATGTCATGACATATCAACATATCTATCTAATATATATATATATATATATATATATATATATATATATATATATATGTGTGTGTGTGTTTCTGTCTACATTTGCATTATATATATATATATATATATATATATATATATGATTAAATACAAAATCAGGAAACAGAAGTCCACTGAATATTTGATAAACCGGGTGTCAAAACTGATGCAACTAAAATCAAGAGAAAATATAGATATAATAAGGAGTATAAACTGACAATCAAAACGGCATTCTACACGTACACACAAAGGCACAGGCATTATATTTCCAGTTGCGCCATTATATACATTATTATATCCGTGATATGCTAACATACTAAATGACTGAAAAAAAAAAAAATTAAAAAACAAAAAAAAAAAAATGGGCATTTGATATAAAGGAATGACTTTTGTCGCACACTGAGAAATTATAATACGTTAAGCTACAACAATCTCGGTGAAATCGAGACGGTCTTATACTGTTTTCATGTCTGCCCTACGGCTGTGTGCTTGTGAAGACATCTATCATCCTAGCGATCTATATAGTAAGTGATTCTCGTGTACTCATCTTACACAAATGAGGATAATCGACTTTTGCAAACATACGATAGTAATACAAAATACGTCTATATATATTGGTTACTCGTTTCCAAGTCAGCCTGTCAGCTAATACGACTAGCTAATCACTGTTGTCGACGGCATGCCAGGCACATTTCTTATAAAAGGTTTTCTTTTTGTTTTTTCCATTACTTATAAAGCCCTTATAGATATATTTTATTTTTAGCTGAATGTTTCTACACAAGAATACACTCACACTAACACACGCCATATAAATACATATTTACACACTCACAAACACACATACACACAGACACACACACACACACACACACACACATATATATATATATATAATTATATATATTGAACAATAAAAAAATATTAAAAAATTAAAATCTTCAGACACACTGGGTTGTAGATTTATATTCTTTCGTTTTTTTATATTATTTTTTCATTTAGATTCCTCGACTAGTTTCATCAGGAGAAGAAATATTTCTGCTTGCTGGTAGCAGTAAACTACAGAATATATACTAACCTTGCCGTGCGTCTTGAAATGGACCTCCAATCGGTTGTTAACTGGGGCAAGAATTGGCTGGTCAACTTTAACGCCACAAAAACTAAATTACTCTCAATTAACCACCATAAAGATCCTTCCCTGCCCCCCCATTAAAATGTCTGATAGTCAACTTCCTGAGAGCAACTCCCTGCGTCTGCTCGGTTTCACACTGACTGCTGACCTGAGATGGAACAAATACATTGAGTCAATTGCTTCTTCCACCGCCAGGAAATTTTTCTTCCCTGAATCGATACTTCAAATATACAAAACAACCATTCGCCCTTGCATGGAGTATTGCTGCCATATATGGGCTGGAGCACCTTCTGCTTACCTCGGAGTTCTTGACAAGATCCAGAGACGGATGTGTAATCTAATTGGCCCTGATCTAGCGTCTTGTCTGCAGTCACTCTCTCACAGACGCGCCGTCGCCTCTCTCTGTCTTTTCTACAAATACTTCCATGGTAACTGCTCTGATGAGCTGCTCTCTCTGGTTCCCAGACTCCATGAATTCAAGCGCCTTACGAGGCTGGCATCCTGCTCTCACCCTTACACCGTAGACACCTTCAAATGTAGCCGTCTCTTTTACTCCAATAGCTTCATACCTCGCACCTCTCGCCAGTGGAACACCCTCTCCAATTACTGTTTCCCTGAAAGCTATAATCTCCAACTATTCAAATGTAATGTCAATCGACATCTCCAATTACCTTGATCTACCCACTATCCTTCTCCTCTTCCTTTCTCCTATCACTCTTATCTGCTCTCGATCCAAATCTTCCGCAACCCCTGCATCCTAGTGGCTTCACGCCTTGCTTGGGGCACAATGCTTAAAAATATATATATATATATATATATATATATATATATATATATATATATAGATAGTGTAGGGAAAAGTAGCGCACTTTTTATTTACTATATTTTGTTCAACAGAAATAAATTAGCTGTCTATATTTCTGATATAAGATATTATGATTACTTACATTATTTACATTATTTAGACTTATCCACATCCTCATTGTCATATTCACAATTTTTCAGCCGTTGTACGCTTCTGACTTCTTTGGGTGATTGGAAATAATGGGTTCGTTTCGAAATTGCAGTCAGCTGAAGAAGGCTGGAAACGTTATTAATATGGCAATGAAGATGAAGATAACAGTCCGAATAATATAAATAATATAAGTAAAAATAAATTTAAATTTAAAATTAAGGGAAATTTATAAATATTGTCAGATTAAAACAACATAATTTGTTATGATTATCAAGGTACTTAGCATGTTGAAAATGCTGATTTCATATTGAATACAGCACGGAACACTAGCAGTAACAATGCTATACAACATTTAACTAATTTCTATATAATTTCAGAAAATCTACCAGAATGTACTTGTTTTAATTCCGGTATTATTTCCGGTTTCAATGTTCAAAAAAGATCTTACAGTAAATGATAAAAATAAAAGTCTGGTGATGTTATGCCTAGTTATGGCCACTCATTTGCTCGACGTCGTCCTATTCATAAATTTGTTATTAACCAACCGGTTGCCGTAGATCATACAGTGAAAATGAGTATAGTTTCGACTTATAAATTTTACCCCGAGAAAATCAAGAAAAACTGTATGAATTTATGTCGGTAAAATTTATTTAAGAAAGCTTCAAAGTGCAATAAGCAAGAAAAGTGGATTGACAAAAAAGGAACTATTGAAGAACCTTGTGTAAAAATGACAAACACTGACCAAAGAAACTATATCAACTAAAAACTCAGATTTATTTACAATACACAAACACGCACGCGCACATAAAAACAGTGGCTGCCACTGCTATTAATGCATTGCTCTCCAAGGACGAATTGAGCTCTCTTGGCTACTGGCGCATTTCGTGTACAAAAAAAAAAAAAACGCTAAAATTTCCTTTCTCTATGATATGCGCCGACAGCTAAGGGGTAGGATCTTTGACTGATGCCAAATTGGTCGATTTTCGATCCTGGCTTCATGTAGTCGCATGTCTAGCCACATTGAAGACCTGTCATACAGCGAAACAGTCTGTCTGTGGATGACTATATATATATATATATATATATATATATATACAAACACAGCCACACACACATATATATATATATATACACAAACACACACACACATATATATATATATATATATATATATATATATATATATATATATATATATATATATATATATATATATATATATATATTTGTTGATTAGAGTTTGAGCACTTTCGGAAAAAAAGACAACAGATGCAAGATTAAGCAACGGAATAGGAATACACGAAATGAGATTATGGGCTTTATCGAAAATGAAAATGATGTTACTAAAAAGGCAACGATGATGAAGTAAACTAATTGCGACATTTGGATTGTAAAGATCACGACCGCAAAGATTTAGTCTAAAATGTGTAATAATGCAGGACAATGCTCCTTCATATTATTTAAAGTTGCCAAAATGGTTTCAGTGACATTAAATTCATAGAATAACCCGCAGCTCCTCGCATATTGATCCAAGAGAAATCTTGTGGCATATCGTGAAAAGAGATGTGGATTTAAATAGAAATGTATTCAAACAAACGTGCCTGGAAGGCAATAGTAACTGCTCAAAGTGAAACGTTGTCACAGTATATTACGTTGCTGTCGGATCCATGGCTCTAGTTTTATAGATCTATCAACGGCTTATTTTTATGACTGATGGTCGTTTTCAAAGCTCTCAAGATGCGTTTGACGACCATTATCTTTGTTTTGTCTAGGAAGAAGTCGGTTTCCACTGCTTTCCCAGGACCAATATACTAATGTTGGACTCTATTTACCTCTTTCTCTAAATCGGATAACTTTTCGCCTGGAGAGAAGTTCATTATCGTGGTGTTAAAAGGCACAACGCATGTAGATTTAATTTACTGCTTTTTATTAAACTTGGTAGGGAAAAGCCATCGAATAATTGACAGTAAAGGCGAGAGAAATTGCTTTTGATAGACGCATCCATTTCAACAATTTCAGGTCTGTGTGTCCATAAAAAGGCAATAATTCTCACTCAAATATGAAGTAAAAGACCCTTTTATTTAGAAATACTTCAATTTCCCGCTAATTGATAATTGGTTATGTTCCGCTGGCGAATTTAAAGGCACTCAATCGCGTTAAACCTACTTCGATAAACAAAACCGTATTATTCATTCCCTTTAGTTTCCTTTTTCTTTGACCAATCCCGATCCTCGAATCGGTTCATAAAAAACAAAAAAACAAAAAAAAACTTCTACTCAATATGCTACTTAAGTGCATCCGTACGCTTAGCTTTCAACCGTTTATTTCTTTTTTTTTATTTTTATTCTACTGAAGTTTTTTTTCACATGTTTGCGTACTTTCTCAACACCAGGGGGTCAGATATGTATATATCATTTTTAACATCACGAGTTCACTGTTTGTAAGTTAGGAGATATTTTCTTTTAGATACGGTACGAAAAGATAATATTTTGCATTTCTATCGATAGTCTCTCATTTGAGCATTTTACATATGTACAGATGATGTTAGTCACGTAATACTGAAGTCAAAAGTATAGAAACTGTAGGAAAGTCAATGAATGTTATAGAATATCATGGAACCCTTATTAACATATACAAAATAATAATTTATTAAGATAAAAGTTTCTGCGACAGTAATGTATGTTTTATTGCTAAAATGGATCTCGGCACGTTAAATCTATCTATCTATTTAGCTAGCTATCGATCGATCTATCTCTGTCTCTATACATATCTATCTATCTATTTTATATATATATATATATATATATATATATGTGTGTGTGTGTGTGTGTGTGTGTGTGTGTCTGTGCTTATCTATAGAAATATATTTTGGACAATGAAAATAACACTGCATGTGGACTGTCAGTTTTACGCATCATTTCAGCGGGCTCACTTTATAGGTCACTGGGAGATAAAAGCAAATTGAACAAAAGAGGAACCCAGTCATTTCAAGTTTAAACGTTTTAATCATATAATATATATACATAAACATTACATATATCATATAGACCCGTTACTAAATTAAACTACCCTCTCACCTAGCACATTAAATAAAAATTAACCAATAAGGATTAAAAATTTCTACTTGTTGCATATACACAGTCACTAAAAACAAACAAATAACCAGATTTAAATATAACAAATAAACCCCCATTTTTTTTTAAATCTAAAAATAAATATAAATAATAATAATTTTTACCTATCATAATTTTACACAAACCCCACCACACGTATATACATACATGCGAGGAAATATTATTCAGTGGAAAAAAAAATAATATGACATGTATACATTCACAAAACATTCACGAGACATTTCCGCCACACTTCCAATCTTTAAATTTCAACATACAAATGCGTATGTATAGACACATCACCACCCGTATACATACATATGTCATATCCGAAACTGCCCACATATGTTTATATATGTATGAGCCCCGACGGACGACCAAGTATATATATGTATCTGCATACATCGATGTTTGCGTTAGTACGCTGACATAAGCGACGAAGTTTCCACCACCACTTCCACAATAACACCAATACACGCAATCTACATAAACCCAAATTTAAAAAAAAAATTAATCAGTTTGTCTGACGATCGCTAAAGCGTGAAACCCAGGGTCACAAACTCACATCTATCCAACCAAATATGTTAGCTCTATCTCTGATATTGAGCGCTTTCTAATAAGTACCGCGCATATAATATATAAATATATATATATATATATATATATATATATATATATATATATATATATATATATATATATATATTTATATATACTTTTCACACACACACACACACACACACACACACACACACACACACATATATATATATATATATATATATATATATATATATATATGCACATATATATATATATATAATATTAATTAATTTGATATTAATTAGTTGTAATTCTTAAGGCATTAACAATTATAACCAATGTTCCTTGACAAGTTTTTTTTTTCATTTTCATATACTTGTATTCTGATTGGTCATTGCAGCTTATGTAACAGCGTTTCACCTACCGATGGGTCTTTGGTCGATTTGGACCTTTTAAAACTCTTTATTCTATATTCAACACCATCACTTGATAAGACACCAGAAGTGTTGAAACAAAATGTCTTTTTCTGTAGTGATTTCAAAAAATATTTATGTACTAATTTTCGTATATATATATATTAGAGAATACACATATCCCATGTTGATAGCACGACTCGGAGTTTCATGCAGTTCTACAATCATCAGTTGCTGAACACACACAAACACACTCACACACACACTCACATATTTCTCTGTGTGTGTGTGTGTGTGTGTGTGTGTGTGTTTTATGGTAGAAAACTTTGGTTAAAACTAGATTTTATGATCTGAAATGCTCAGAAGATATTGTTTATGTAAATTAATGTTCCCACAAAATTTCATCTAGGATAAATAATAATAATAATAATAATAATAATAATAATAATAATAATAATAATAAACATTAGTCGGGAATAACTGACTTTTAAGTTGCAATCTAAAATCTATCATATTTTATACATTTACATGCACGCAAGTAAACACACATGCACATACATGTATACATATATATTATTATTACTTTAAACGTTATTTTAGTGGTAAACCGTATTTGAGTAGATGGTCTGTTTATTTATTAAACCGTATATTTACTTATTTTCACCTACTGGCTTGAATATTCGAGAAATGATATTCAAAAATATTCGATTTCGGGATTTCTGAATATTCAAGAATTCATACTAGAAAATATGCGTTTTCCGGATTTCTCGAATATTCGAGAAATCATACTAGAAATATGTGCGTTTTCCGGATTTCTCGAATATTCAAACCGATAAATGAAAATAAATATACTGTTTAATAAATTAAGAGAGCATCTTCTCAAATACGATATTCACTAGAAATATCATTTATTTAACAAAATTATGTTGGACTAATAAATGAAATACCCCTTATATATATATATATATATATATATATATATATATATATATATATATATATATATATATATATATATATAGGTGACCCAGAAAAACGGGAACTGTGTTACAATCCAATAAAACCAAAAGTGATGGACGAAAAATATTTTGTTCATAGTAATTGCAACCTTAAAAGATGGCATTTAAGAAACAATGATGGAATTTTCATTTTTGAAAAATTACGTCCTGTAGATGGCGTCCTCCTGTACGAATGCATTCTTAAAATCTGCTGTTGAGATTCCTCATTGACTGCTGCAACATCTCAGGTGGGATAGTGTGAATTTCATCTTGAATTCTAAATGGCGAAATGTTTACTAGGTCAAGGTCACTGTCTAGCAGTGTTGCCACTTGCTCATGTCTGGCAATACCCACTTCAAAAATTCCCGTTTTTGGGTCACCCTGTATATATATATATATATATATATATATATATATATATATATAAAAATATATATATTCATGAATTATTCACACAAAAACAAATGCAAAGGTTAATGATTTAATTGGCGAGAAATCCATCGTCGCAAACAATTCAAATGATATACAAAACCTCCGAATCCGTTATGAATGAAATGATCCTTGTTTTATAAATTTCTGCCGTATTAGTTCTTATTTTTACTACAAGCTTTCATCTGTTCCTACAGACATCTTCAGGTATAGAATAGATGTTGTTCTTGTTTTTTCTCTTAGTAATAAGAGGACAACGAAAATATATGTATTGTTGTATCCGAAAATGCTATTGGAAATAAGTTATTGTTTTTGGAGCGCGCAGTAGCAACGCTGAGTTTGATTTAAAATTTTTAAAAGTTGTGTGTTCATATACAAATATGGCGATGAACGAATTTTTTACTGGTAAATTTTCTGTCAAAGTGGCATGAACTATATTGTTCAATAATTACAACAATACATATATTTTCGTTGTCCACTTATTACTAAGAGAAAAAACAAGAACAGCATCTATTCTATACCTGAAGATGTCTGTAGGAACAGATGAAAGCTTGTAGTAAAAATAAGAACTAATACGGCAGAAATTTATAGAAACAAGGATCATTTCATTCATAACGGATTCGGAGGTTTTGTATATTATTTGAATTGTTTGCGACGATGGATTTTCGCCAATTAAATCATTAATTTGCATTTGTTTTTTTGTGAATTTATGAATAAATTATTGCACGTTTATATATATATATATATATATATATATATATATATATATATATATATATATATATATATATATATCAGTGCTTATGCAATATGATAATTTTTTATATATGGATCTATATGATAGATGCAAGCTCATTAATATTTATACAGATATACATGAAAGTAAGAGTCACAAGTGTGTGTGTGAATGTGATTTCTTATACTTTTCTATTTGTATTCCGCATGCCTCTAAACATTATGGATTAACGGTCGAGATTTCTAATGCATAAACCGTGATTCTGTACGCCGCATTTTACCCGCAAACATAAACCTCGTAAACATATTTATAAACTTAGTCCGCTGTGTACGCTTTAAACAGACTTTATATTACGTTTCCATTCCCTATTGAATCAGGAAAACACGCGATGTCTGCTTATTTGTTTTAAGTAAATTCAATCGTATTTCTTTCATTCGGACTGATCGCCTTCTTCTTGCTGATTATTCTTCTCATTCTTGCTGCTTAATCTTTTTCTGCTTAGTCTTTTACTTTTCCGGCTTTTTTTCTGATTTGTTATTCGTTTTTATTCATATTCTTTTTTTCAGTTCATTCATGTTTTATTGTTTTTGTACTTTTACGTCCTTTTCTGCTTCTTTATCTTATATTTCCTTTCTTTTTATTCTTTTTCGTTTTGCTTCTTTCTTTCTACTGTTCCCGCTTTTTTTTCTGTCACAATTTATTCTTCGTCTTTATCGACTTCTACCTCTGCTTCACTTAGCATCTTCTTCTAAATTTGTTTCATTTATCATTTCCTCCTTCTTCATTTTACCATTTATTTCCTCTTTTTCTGTTCTTCTTCTGTGCTTTATTTTGTTCTACCTCTCCTTTTCCTCCACCTCCTCCTCCTCTTCCTCCTCCTCCTTCTTCTTCTTCTTTTGGGCTTTATTTTCTTCTTTTTGCATTTTCTTCTTAGTCTTTTTTATTTTCCTGTTTTCTGATTCGTTGTCTTCGTCTTCTTCATGTCTTCATTTTTCTTCTTTTATCTCATTTATGCTTCTTTTTCTTCTATTTCTTTTCTTTTTATATTTTTCATTTTCGTTTCTCATCTTTTACCGCTTCTTTTTATCTCCTTCTTCTTCGTCACCGTCTCCTGTCTATGTTTCACTTTCCCTATTCTACTTCAGCATTTCCTTTATTTCTCTTCTTCTTCTACTTCTTCTTCTTCTTCTTCTTCTTCTTCTTCTTCTTCTTCTTCTTCTTCTTCTTTCATTTTATTTTGTTCTGCTACTGCATCTGCTTCATTTTTCCCTTTTCTTCTTCTACTGTCTTTGCTTAATTTTCTTTATGCAGAATTCATGGACGTAAGTAAGAATTACTTCATAATTTTATAGATTTCAAAAGACGGAAATCTAAGCTGATCACACAAACACTCTTATAGAACGCCAAACTATACCACTCAACGATAATCTATCGCAGTGTTTATATTTTATATCACTTTCCAAAATCATATTCTTAAAGTTATGCATTCGTTTGCGTATATAAACACATACACGTAACAAAAGACTGGCATAACATAGTGAATATATTTCTGTTGCTTATATTAATTTGCTTAAACAGAGGCATTTCATTTTCTTTCCTTATTTCTGCATATCGGGCACAGCGAGCCATGTAAATTAATGAATTAATTAAACCTTGTAATATTACGAAAAATAACTTTCTATAACGAATCAACATTAATAAAGTTAAAATTATTTATATATTTTGAATACAGGATGTTTGGTAAATAATGCGTAGACATATTTTATAGAAACATCGTAAACATTTTCATTATTGTAAAATTTGTTCTACAACGAAGTACTTTTGTTTATTTGAGAGAGTGTTCAAACACTTTCAGCTAAACCCAGTTTTTCACACCTGTATCTCAGAAAACAGAATTGACAATTTTAACATATATATATATATATATATATATATATATATATATATATATATATATATATATATATTGTAATGGTGATTCCTCAGCATTTTCATCTTTGCCGTACGGGTATTTTCCTCTACGGTTAGTTGGTGTGTGTGTATCAGGTACATATCAGCTACCATCGTTGTAACGTTTTCAAGTAACCGAGGACATGAATTTATCCTCACAAAAAAAATGCCGATTACTTGATATATGTATGTATAGGAAAGTTAATTGTCTATCGCGAGAATTATTGAGCACTTCTTGTAATCTAAAAATAATTTGTTAGCCTCCTGCTGAAATAATAAGTTGGAGAAAACATTGCCTTCAACTATAACTAAGTTTTATAAATGCTAAATTTTGCCCAGCAGTTGATACCATCCTCATTTTCTGTACAAACTAAAACATGATTATTTTATATATATGTTCTGTCACTTCAAGACATGCGCAGATGTGGCTTCCAGTGTTTCTCAAAATTTTTACCCTTGTGAAACCCTTAAAATTGTTTGAATAACAGAGGAAACCACTGCCTGAAAATGATTATATATCATTATTAATATCTCTTTAATATTTGTAAGGTAGTTCACGTGGCAGACACGATATTGGGGTACTGTGCATACGTCCTGTAATCGCCTGAATCATGAAATGCAGGGATTTGCCATGGACAGTTCCTGTGCATTAATCAGTGAAGGCGGTTTTACACAGGCGCTACATAGATATCGCTGATTGCATTTCCTGTGATTGTTTTACCTTTAAATAATATAAGTGTTTGCTGCTATTATTATAATAACCGAGGATTTTAAAACAATATACGGTATGTTTATAGTAAAATTACCAATATATAATAAGGCTGGAATTACTGAATATGTATTACCATATTTATCATTTTTTCTCACGGTCCCCCTAGTGACCACTTGCGGAAGACTGCGGCTCCGTGGAATATCTGTTAATAAACACTGATGACTATCAACAACTTTCTCTCCATTATAGCTCTTAGTAAGTTTGGTTTTTCCACAATCATTCAGACTCTCTATTCTACTATTCATTGACTCAAGTGTATTAGTTAAGTTAGTCGTCGTTTCTCTCTTGTCTCCACTAAGTCTTGTGAGTGTCAATTTCTCTGAACGATTTTTATTATTATATCACCAAGTAATTTTAATTGCTTCTGGTTGATTTTCATTATAAGCGTCATTTCTGTTTTAGTGTTTCATAAAACGACCTCGTTATTCACATGGTATTCTCATGGCCCTTCTTTATCTCTGAGGTGATGTTCCGGCATACACTACCGTATAGGATTAATATTGCATAATAATTTAGCATTCATTTTTTGTTGTTGTTTTAAATGAAATTCATAGGTTTCTTAATATTTACTAAGATTTTTTATCGACACATTCAATGCACCTTCGAATTTCCGTGTCACATCTTCCGTTCTTTGATTTTGAACAACATATTCCAATGCGCGTTTTAATTTCTGTGTCACATTTACCTCATTTTGATTTTGTACAGTGTCACATTTTCCACCCTTTGATTTTGAACTGTATCACATTTCCCGTCCATTAATTTTGAATGACATATTCCAACGTGCTTTTTAATTTCTGTGTTACATTTTCCGTCCTTTGATTTTGGACGGTGTCACATTTACTGAATTTTGATTTTGAACGACATATTTAAATCTGCCTATTAATTTCCGTGTCACATATTCTGTCTTTAATTTTGAGGTGTGTCACATTTTCCCTACTTTGTTTTTGAATGACATATTCCCTTGCGCCTTTTCAATTCTGTGTCACATTTTCCGTCCTTTGATTTTGAACTGTGGAATAATTTCCGTCCTTCGATTTTGAACTGTGAAACAATTACCGTCCTTTGATTTTGAACGACATAATCCAATGCACCAACGAATTTCTGTGTTATATTTTCCGTCCTTTGATTTTGAACTGTATCACATTTTCCCAACTTTGATTTTAAACGACATGTTACAATCCACCATTTAATTTCTGTGTCACCTTTTCCGACCTCTGATTTTGAACTGTCTCACATTTTCTGTCCTTTTATTTTGAACGACATATTCCAGTGCGCCATCGAATTTCTGTGTCATATTTTCCGTCCTTTGATTTTGAACAACATATTTCAATCCGCCATTTAATTTCTGTCTGACATTTTCTGACCTCTGTTTTTGAACTGTGTCAGATTTTCCGTCCTTTGATTTTGACCGATATATTTCAGTGTTCATTCTAATTTATTTGTCATATTTTTCTGTCCTTTGGTCTATACAGTGTCACATTTTAAGTCCTTTGATTTTGAACTGTGTCACATTCTCAGTCCTCTGATATTGAACATTTTTTTCCAATGCGTCTTTTAATTTCTGTGTCACATTTTCTCTCCTCACTTTTCAATGCATCTTTAAATTTCTGGGCCACATTTTCCGTCATTTGATTTTGAACTGTATCACATTTTCTGCTCTTTGATTTTGAACGATATTTTTCAATCCGCCTGTTAATTTCAGTGTCACAATTTTCGTCTTTGATTTTGAACTGGGTCACAATTTCCGTCCTTTGATTTTGAACGAAATAATCCAATGCACCATCGAATTTCTGTGTCACATTTTCTTTCCGTTGATTTTTAACTGTATCACATTTTACGCCCTTTGATTTTGATGTGTGCCATATTTTCCGTCCTTTGATTCTGGATATTGTCAATATATCCGTGCTTAGATTTTGAGTGACATATTCCAATGCACCATCGGATTTCTGTGTCATATTTTCTGTCATTTGAATTTGAATGGTCACATTTTCCGCCCGTTGATTATGAACAACATGGGCCCTTAATATGTGCCAAACTTTCTGTCCCTTGGTTTTGAAGTGTGTCACATTTTGCCTTATTTGATTTGGAATGACATATTCCCATGTGACTTTTAATTTCTGTGTCACATTTTCCGTCCTTTGATTTTGAACTCTGTAACCATTTCCGTCCTATGGTTTTCAACGACATATTCCAAAGCATCATCGAATTTCTGTGTCACAATTTCCGTCCTTTGATTTTGAAGTATGTCATATTTTCCGTCCTCTGATTTTGAACGACATATTTCAATGTGCATTCTAATTTCTGTGTCACAATTTCCGTCCTTTGATTATTAACTGTATTACATTTAGCGTCCTTTGTTTTTGACCGATATATTTCCATGTGCCTTCTTTTTCTGTGTCACATTCTCCGTCCTTTGATATGAACGACATATTCCAATGAACCTTTTAATTTCAGTGTCACATTTTCCGTCCCATGATTTTGAACATATTCGAATGCGCCGTCGAATTTCTGTGTCACATTGTCTGTCCTTTGATTTTGAAGTATGGTACATTATCCGTCCTTTGATTTTTAACGAAATATTTAATGTGACTTCTAATTTCTGTGTCACATTTTCCGTCCTTTGATTTTGTATTGTGTCACATTTTCCATCATTTGATTTTGAACGACATATTCCAATGTGCCTTCTTATTTCCGTCACATTTTACGTCCTTTGCTTTTGAACGACATATTCCAATGCCCCATTGAACTTCCGTGTCACATTTCACGTCCTTTGATTATTAACTGTATCACATTTTCCGTCCTTTGATTTTGAACGATACATTTCAATGTGCATTCCAATTTCTGTATCACATTTTCCGTCCTTTGATTTTGAACGATACATTTCAATGTGCATTCCAATTTCTGTGTCACATTTTCCGCCCTTTGATTTTGAACGATACATTTCAATGCGCCATCGAATTTTTATGTCACAATTTTCGTCCTCTGATTTTGAACTCTAAGACATTTTCCCGCTTTGATTTTTAACAACATATTCGAATTAATTCACATGTCACATTTTCTGTGCTTTGATTTTGAACGATACATTTCAATGCGCCATCGAATTTTTATGTCACAATTTTCGTCCTCTGATTTTGAACTCTAAGACATTTTCCCGCTTTGATTTTTAACAACATATTCGAATTAATTCACATGTCACATTTTCTGTGCTTTGATTTTGAAGTATGTCACATTTTCTCTCCTTTGAATTTGAATTGTACCACATTTTCCGTCCTTTTATTTTGAACGACATTTTCCAATGCGCCTTTTAATTTCTGTTTCATAGTTTCATTCCACTGATTTTGAACGATATTATTTCTTTGCATCTTTTAATTTCTGTGTCACGTTTTTCCTCCTTTGATTTTGAACGACATATTTTTATGCGCCATAGAATTATTGTGTCACATTTTCCGTCCTCGGATTATGAACTCTATCACATTTTCCGTCCTTTGATTTTGGACAACATATTCAAATGCCGCATTTAATTTATGTGTCACATTTTCCCTCCTTTGATTTTTGAACTGGGTCATATATGCTGTCGTTTGATTTTTGAAGTGCATCTTT